GTCTCATTGATTTGGCTACCTTAGGGCTGCGTTCCCCGCGCCCACGCGGTAGACAATTCAAATCCGAACAACCACCTACCCAGCAAAACCACAACTGAAAGGAATGCGAACTGTGATTAGGTCTCTGACAGGAGAAAAAAGCGAAAAAAAAACAAAAAAAAACATATGTTCAAGGCATACAAAGCAGCAGCTGCATTCCATCGACAGTGTCAACGACAGTGTACAGGTGAGCCAAAAAAACACCCCGGCCCCACCAAACCCGCACCCGGACCACCAACCCCCCACCCACCCTCATTTGCACCCTTTTCCTTTCATTTTTTCTGCGGGCGAAGCCTCAACAGGTAACCTCCTTGCTTTGTTTTAACTTAAAGATGATGAATACGGAGACACGTCGTCGGGGCAGAAGCCCTTACAAGGGTATCTGCTGTCGTTTTGACGGCTCGCGGGAAAGCCGCCGTTCTATCCGTAGGATGACAGGGCGTCGGTAAGCGAGTAAAAGACAAAGTAAAGATAATCCGTCGCGGCGCAACAAAAGATTTCATGGGTATCCCAACCCCCTGTACATATTTACATTTCTTTTCTTATCGTGTATTGACCCCGCGTCTGTCTCTTCTAAATCTGTTACTCAGACTCTAAGGTTGGGCACCCAAGTGGTTGCAAGAAAGGCAGTTGACGCTACAAAGACATATCGTGGCGGAAACTACTAAAGGGAGGGAGCCGCGACGACAGGGACGTCGGGGCTACCATTCTCCTTTGCCTCTACCATTAGAGCAATGTGCGGCGGCCTAAACAAAAGGGTGCCGCGCGGCCCATTGGCCGCGCAATTCAGGGTCCATCGAAGGAAAAGACCAACATTAGAAATACTCGGAGCACGACTGCAACGTAGGAGGAGAGAGGGAAATCAAAGGGGGTTCGAGTAAAAGGCCTATCCTAAAATAACTATCGAGAGAACCGACCTTTATAGGTCTTAACCCCGCTCCTACGTCATGTATACGCGCCATGCCATTTAGCCAGTCTAAGTGGGCAGGAGCTGCAAAGATAGGTGCATCGGGACCAATCATTCCCCGACGTTCCTACCACTAGGACAATGCGCGACAACCTAAAAAGAATGGGGTCGCGCGACCGATAGACCGCGCGATTCAGAGCTCGACAGTTGAAAACGACCGTGTCGGACAATGGCTCGGAGGCGACGTAATAACAAAAAAAAACTAAGGGTTGGAGTTGAAAATTTATCTATGAAAATCTACCGGTGAAGAACACACCCTATCTGAAATTTTATAGGCCTGACCCCGCGCCTACGACACGCCACGCTACGTTGCTAAGGCTCGGAGGGTGTGTGAGTGGTGAAAAAGGTGGGGGGGGGGATGCCTCGGGATTGCTGGCGTTGCGCCTGGCGCAACCACTCATATGGAGGTGGTACCTCTACCCACACAATAGAAGAGGCCAGCCCAGTCGGTTTAGGTGGCGGACTACTAAGTACCAGACACAGGGATTGAGCCCGCGCGCCTACAAAACGACGGGCTAACTCCTTTTCTAGGGCGGAAAAGCAAGGAGCGTCTGGCGCAACCACTCACATAGAAGTGGTGCCCCTACCTACACAGAAGTAAGGGCTAGCCCAGTTGGTTTGGGTGGCAGGCTGCTGAATATCGGGTACGAGGATCGAGCCCACACGCCTCAACCGACAGACTAGCTCCTTTTCGTGGAACAGAAGCCCGCCTCTCTGAAGACCACGCGATCTGGGAAAATCGCGCGACTGGAAAGCCGCCTGCCTTGAAGGCTTTCAACCCTTGACCGATTACAGGTGGGACTCAAACTGTGGGCAGCGCGATGAGAGGAAAACGGGGGGGGACGAAAAAGGAAACGAGAAAATAAAAACGATTCAAATTTTCTCCCGACGCGCCTACATAATCAGGAATCGAACCGTGGGCTACGGGGAAAGAAAAAGGAGAAAGCGCGTTAAAAAGAAAAACGGACGAAATAAAACAAAATGAAAAATGACAGAAAGAAAAACAAAAGAAATAGACAAACTGTGAGATGCCAGATGGCGTGGGGGGGGGACCGCAATACGACAAACTGAATCCTTTTCTAACGGATTTCTGTTGTTTTGTTTCTTTATTTTATTTTATTATTTTGTTGTTGTTTTCTTTCTTTTTTTGTTAGTAACGTTTCTCTACATCCGCCCATATCAGCGGGAGTGTATCTCCCCGTGTTCTAGCAAAAGATTCACTCCCCTTTTGCACATTAGTAGGAATACGCCCCAAGGAAAAACAAGTGCCCAGGCCCATGCTATGTATGGATTCGAACCGTGGCACATGGGATTAGCAAAGGGGGGAGGCCGTGGCTGCGGCTGGGGCTGAAAAGGCCATGATGGCCCTCCCTTTGGCCTCAGCTGAGCCATTATGACCACCCTGCAAACTCAGCACCCCCATGTTGGATCTTTCTGATCTTGGGGGTGGGGTTGAATGCCGGGGAAAAGGACAGCAGCACGTGGGGGTAGGACAGGAGGCATCATAAGGGGATTCCCGCCATTGAGATCAAAGGATCTCGTGGCTGGGAACTCATCAAAGGGAGAGAAGGGCTTAGGATGCATAGGGAACTAATTCCAGCCTTTCCCCGACGTACCGGCACTGGGAAGAATAGCCAGGTACGTCAAACTTTTGAAATTCATAACTCCTGGAATAATGGTCAGAAAAATACAAGGAAAACTGTTTCAGAAATGAGACAGTGTCAGCCATCTCGTGAGAATTACGAGATGACTAATTGAGCTAACCCTGAATAGATAAAAACGAGAGAAAGGGGAATAGTCAAAGTCAGTTGCACTAAGTGTGCGGCTGTGGTGCGACGACGTCACACCGTCGATCTCAGAAAAATCGAGGGTCCGGGGCCATCTCGAATTATTGCCTAGGGGCTAGAGTGTCGAGGCACACTCCCCGCCTCAAATTATTGTCTAAGGGCTAGAGTGTCGAGGCACACTCTCCAACTCGACTATAAAAAACAGGCAATGCCCAAGAGTTGCCACACAAGGAGCACGTGCTGTAGGAGTGGTCGCACACTCTAAGGCATTTGTGAGTTGCGGGAGTGCTTTGGGAGTGCTGCTGGGAGCCTACTAGCGGAGCTGTTGGAGCCAAGAGGAGGAGAAGGAGCCACCATAGCCACAAGGTGGAGGCACCTTGCTACCACCTTGGGTTGGTACCGGACCTACGACACATGTGCTAGGGACCACTCCATTGGAGCGGGAACTCACTCAAGGGAGCGACATTTTGGACTTAGCTTCGGCCAAGGGCCGGATTTTATTATTTTGAGGTTGGACGTGGCCGACGTAAGGGAGCATGCTACCGGAATAATCAAGCGGCAAGGCTACGTCCGCATGCGAAGGAGCGTTGCCGACCTTGTCGTACGTGGGCGTCAGGTTAATTTTGTGAGATTGTCGTGGGACCGCCGTTGGACCTGGTTTTTGACACCAAGGCGGTGCCTTTTATTTTTGGAAGTAAGGGTCCCGGGTCGCAGGGCGACGAGGCGACGGTACCGCTTACCCGCTTGTTGGCGGTTCACGGCGGTAGCACCAATTAATTTTGTGTGGCATTCCAAGTGTGTCGTCGTGGTCCAAGGGAGGTGCCGAGTGCGACACATGCTCAAGGCGGACGCCAGTGCAAACTTGTGACGGTGTGACGCAAGGGATTTTTTTTTAGCGGGAACGGCGCAAGTCCTTGACGTTTTGGCGTGGTGGAACCCTTGGTACCAGTCTTTGGAACCATTGGGACCATTTGGGATTACGCCGCATCGACGGTCCTGTTAATTGGACCTCCGACACCTCGACGACCAGGGATCTATCTTGAAGTACGTCGGCAACCGTCATTACATTGGGCCCGGCGGGACCAATTTGGAACCAGGGGTGCCATTCATCACTTGTGAGACTTGCCGGAGCAAGCAAGAACCTCTCAATAATTGTTGAGGTTCACGGCGCTTGTGATTTTCTATTCAAAACATTTTGGAGCGTGGTTGGCGTTCAAGATTCAGCTTGGCTTTCTTGGGTGAGCCGGTCGGCATCAACGACACTTCACTCAAGGTCAGTTAATGACTCAGACCCATCACAACCCACGTGAAACCACACTTTTGCTTGCCCCATTTCTATTTCCTTAATATTCAGTTGAAAGAAAGAAAGGCTGGTTTGTGTGTGCTCAAACGTGAAAAGGAAAGTGTTGTCTGACCCCGAGTGTTCCTGCCTACCCTTGGAATATGTCTTGGCTTTGTACTTTTGTTGCAGGCATGTGAGCAAAAGCTTTGTATGTCCAACGAGGACTGGGGTCTTGCGGATGAGATGCTCCGCCTATGAAAAACTCAAATGTTTCTTTTGTTTTGGTTCATAAGATCCTTAGTCGATTGAGGCTCACGAGGGAGGAATCTTGTCATTGATTTTGTCTTCCTTTGTTCGGTTAGGCGATCTCCGCATTAGGAATTCAAAGATGTGGGTCGTCCGTTACATTACTATGAAGCGACCGTCACCTATTACCCGTGACAAGAATTGTAGGATGCGGCGAAACGGATCAACAAGGCTCCATTATTTTACCCTTTTGCCTTCTTTCTGAACTATCTGGCGCATAGGAAACAACTCCGATGAGCATGCACCTAGCAGCCTCGTCTGGCTTGAGGAGCACCACGGAAGGATGGGTAGCTTCCAACTCCCCTGGGCCTTGTGGGACTAAGTAGCGATAGGAATCGCCCTACATTTAGCCTGCACACGCTTGACGTCGTTCTATATAAGTAGCCCAGCTTCTCGTATACTTAACTTCACTACAAGGTTTTGTGTCGCCGGTTCCTTTTCTAAGAGGACGACGAAAGTTGGTTCGTCGTGGCCTGCATCGCCTATCGTGCCGAACCTCGGCAAAGGGGGTGAGGCGGCCAGCCGGAGAAATGGGGGCGCGGGTAGCAGACAACACGGGCGCCGCAAGCGGTGCCGCCTCGAGCAGTTCCCGACGAAGGGTCGCGACAGTCGTCACCATCATGCTGTTTCCAAGCAAGACGGAGGCAAGGGCGTCTGCTGTAGCCGTCGGAGGATTTAGGCAAGGATGGGCGAGAGTCGACCGCATGGTCTTCCATCCCGCGGACGTCTTCCCAACCGAGGTGGAGCTTAGGGAAGACCAAGGGACCCTTGAGGACCCGCCACGGATTTATGAATTTGTGACAACGACCATGAAGCTGGTTCTAAGCGTCGGCGTCTGCCCCCTTAGGAAGACGCATTGGTTCGACGTCGGGGTCGTCTACGACGTCGTGAACGAGTCTATCCACCGCAAGTTCGACGACGAGATCATGTGGTTGTCCCTACGCATTATGCGGAACCACCACGATCGGCAGGGGCCATTCATATACATCGAGCATTACGATCGCGTGGGACTGTATGATGTCGGATTCCGTGTCGCGGAGAGATGTGACGATGAGGCCCTCCAGCGGCAGGAGGAGAATTTGCTAAAACTCTTTCATATCTGATAATGACTCTTTGTGATGCAGGATGGCTGGAGCTCGGTGCGACCTGACGATCCCCAAGTATTTCCTGATTCGAGATACGAACGATGCAGACCGCACCGCCTGGGCGGAGAGGATGTCGATGGTGTTCGATGGGACTCCGACTCGATGGCTCGGCTTTGTCGGAATCGTCAACGACGGACGTGGGTTTCTTCCGGAAGAGCGATCGGAGATTCGACCGAACGTGATTCGGCGTCCGAACGAGGTGCAGGGGCATACATTGTATTTCCATCGTGTCTCGAACATGGAGCTTGTCTCTCGAGTCACCGTTGTAGTACTCTTCAGACGATCCGGAGCACGAATGGTGTTCCTTTGGCTTCAAGACACTTCCGCCCGACACCTTAAGCGCCTCGATGTACCCTTCTGGTCCGTCCTGTTGACATTGGCGCGACGAATGACGGATCTCTACATCACGAGCGACCTACGACTACGATGGCAAGGACGAGTGCGGAGGATGGCGATTAACGAGGCGTTCATCCGGTGGCATACCCGGCTAGACAGACGCGCTCGGGCGACTCACACCGCTTTACGGCCGCTAGGAGTCGCCCACCTTCTATAGGTCCCTCTAGAGAGTGGACCGTCCAGCGGAGGGGAGCGAGTTAGGCTCCTACGATCGGATCAGCAGGCTTCGCCCTCGAGAGGGCTAAAACATGATTAAACTCAGTAGTGTCGACCAATAAAACATGGTATGCCCACCCCTATGATTATCATTTTTCCGCGATGAATTTCGCTGGTGTCATGATGAGGGGTGAAGGCGACACATAAATTTTGTTCCCTTCTTTTGTATATAATTAAGATTGATGGTCGTTCGCAGTTAGGCGATGGCCCCTGTACTAGGAGGGACGCAAGTGGTTTGGATAAGAGGGAGTCAAAGGAAAAATAATAAAAAAATGTCTTGGGTATATCGTTACAATGCGGAGTTGTTTTTGCAAAGTTTGATTCAGTAAGTTTCAATCTCTGCAAGTTGTGACCGTCGACGGTGTCGAGGAGGTGATCCTCTTGCCAGTTTTCACGTACATCAATTGTGGAACGCTCTTGAAAACTTTCCTTTCAACTTTAAGAGATAGTGAAAACAAAGGCATGTTCTCTGTCATCATACCTGCTAAAGATTGTTGTTTCCGCCTTTGGGATGATTCGCTACCTGCATGCTGCATTTGTACATCTTCGTTTGCAACCTCCATGTGCCTTGGCTGTCATGTATGTGCTTTTGGTAACGGGTTCAAAAATGTTTGGTTGTAACGATCATGTGCCTTAATGCGACATCTATGTGTGAACTGGTTACCACTCTCGCGTGATTGTTAGCAACATCCGTTTGTGCCGTGGTTGTTTACGTGCATGTGTTTAATTGTAGCGTCTGAATGTCTCATGTAACCCATATGTGTGCTTTCTGCTGCAATGACACTGTCTTCCGGAAAGCGTCTTTATAAGAGATGAGGAGTAACTTCGATGGGATTATTCTATATTCACCTTTAAAAATTGTCTGTACTACGGCGAAACGAGCAAAACGCCCTTGGCTGGTCTACCTCTGCGATTGCATGTAAAAGCTTTCGTATGTAGATCAGTAGCTCGGTAGGGATACGCCTCTGAGGATGGTGACAGCTCCTCAGGGAAGACGAGTTGTGCCTCGCAGGACTCTGACCTGTCGTAGGGAAACGTGAGAAGTACGATTGCCGCACCCGGCTAGAGCGACAAAACCCCGTTGTTCACCTCGATGAATTTTGGGGAAAGCATTCCGACTCTAAAAAGAAAGATATCAAACTCCTGCATGATGCGCCCGGGAGGTCCCCCTTTATCCGTTACGATGCTAAGGGGGGCCGTTGCGTCCGACAACGTTGTCTCACATTGCTAGACTGACGAAACAAAACAAAACAAAAAAGGCAAGAGAAGGGCGTCACCTCCTTACAATTATCAGTCTCTTTGACAAGACGATTATGATGATGATCACAATTTTGGTGATGATGTTTAAGGTGAGAGAGAAAGGAGAATATCGACGTTGACGGTCGTCACGGCGTCTCTGGGTGTGTGTTATGTGCATCGGGGATGAGAGGATAATGGGAGCTTTTGTGGCGATGGTGGTGGTAATGGTCGTTGTGTGATGATGTGGGCTGGGCTGTGTTTGCGAGCAACAGCTAACTCTCCCTTCTGTCAGTATTCAGCAGCCTGTTGTGTGCATATGGTTTGCGTTGGGTGGGTGGGGGCAAGGGTTAGGAGGGGGGCGTTAACGTAATTGGTTCGGTCCTCGCTCTCGACCATTGTGGTTCCAATGCTGGGTCATCCCTGGCCCAAAATGCTCTTTGGGCCGATCCTTGGGAACCACATGCTGCCTCCGAAGCTCATTTTGGGCCAGCGAGCACCGAGCAGCTGTACCGTTGCCCTGGCCCAAAATGCTCTTTGGGCCCGATCCTTGGGAACCACATGCTGCTTCCGAAGCTCATTTTGGGCCAGCGAGCACGCAGCAGCTGTACCGTTGGGCGAAATCGCGCGGAAGAGTCCGAAAGCCTTTTGCAACGTCGTCCACTCAGGGCTTAAGAGGCTGGCCACAGTAGGCACAACTTGTCCTTATCCTCAGGCCAACGTGCCAAATTTGTTCGGGCTGCAGGGACTTTTGCGCAATTGATTCAAAAACATGAGGCAACCGTCAGCAATCCTCAGGCAAGTCAAGTTATGAGGGAAGCTGGACCCGCTTTCCAGCAGGTGCTCTTACCAACACCGCTTGCAGACCCGGCGGGTGTTAAAAAACAAAAAAAAATAAAAAAATCGTTGGTCTATGCAGATCTCTACAGACATTCCATCGGAACACAACAGCATCCTCAGGACATAAGTGATGAAGGTGTACCCAGGGTCAGATTCACTACCGTCTTCCGGTCACTATAGCTGTATCTGGACTGAAAATTGCACCAAATACGGCTCTAATGACCGGGCGTTCTATTCGGGTGAAGACGGTAGCACTGCTACGATGAGGTGGAAGCACCTGTCAGATGCTTAGTCAGCCTGACTACCGTCTCCACCCGAACAGAACGCTCGGTCATTATTCAGTCTGGATCCAGCGTTAATAACAGGGCTTTCTATTCAGGTGAAGATGGCAGTAGAGACAGAGATGTTGGAAATCTATGGGAGTAGGAGAGGGGAGTAAGAAGAGGTATCTGAAACACTGGGAACTGGGTGAGAGAGGTGGGGGGGGGGATGAGATGCAGGAGACATCAAGAACAGACAGGTAGAGAGAGATCTCAAATGTGCAGTGCGGACCAGCTACAGATAAACTTGGTATCATTATGGGACCGTGGACCCGGTTCCAGAAGGTGGATGGAGCTCCCATTTCCACCAAGAGCTTAGACTCTGAGGCCCAAGCCACAGAGAAACTTGGTATCATTATGGAACCCTGGACACCGTTCCCAGCAGGTGCAGCGCCTGGAACTCTGATACTTATCATAGATAGGGGTCGGGAGTCGTGTTTTCCCGCTCTCCGAACCGCACGTGATAGTTTCCCATCATACGGCTCTCTGCCAGGAATCATCGTTCGATGATGTTCTTTCGCTAAACTAGATAATGTTCTTTCGCTAAATGTTCTTTCGCTAAACTAGTAGTTTTATGTAGGACAGTGCCCGTCTCAGCACATTGAAACTGTGGACCAAATTTCTTCAGCATGCTTCTTTTGAACTTTGTGCGACATTTAAGCTCCAAGGTCAATGCACAAGATTCCTCCACCAAGAGCTTAGAGGTCCAAGCTACAGATAAACTTGGTATCATCATGGGACCCTGGACCTGGTTTTCAGCAGGTGCGGAGCCAAAAAAAAAAGAACGCATGCGGGCCTTCATTTGGCTGGCGGCACCAGCCATTTTGCTCCAGTAGGCCGACCCACGCCGGACAAAACGGCCAGTGCTTTTCCCAACCATTTTCTTCCATGCGGCCGTGCACATGGCACGACTTTCAGGGCTTGGCCTAGTAGGCCTACCGGAGCGAAATGGCTGGTGGCGCCAGCCAAAAAAAAAAGCACCTGTGCCCGTTCACTCTTCTTTGGCATGCCGGGGGAAAACCGCTTCGGCGAAAGAAAGCCGCCGAGTACTGGTGGTGTGAGCCACCAATATGACAAAGCCTTTCCCTCCTGATCATAGGCTGCCAGCCTCTACCAAACTTAAGGGCAGTAGCGGAGCCCAATAACAGCACAGGTCTGCTTTAAGAGGGACCTTGGCACTGCCTCTAGGGGACGTCTGTGGACCTTGTCCATGCCCTCATTCGTTTTCTTTTTTTTTTCCAGGTTGTTGTAGACGTTGGATTCCAGACATATCCATGCGCTCATTCTTGAGAGGAACTTAGAGAGCCTCAGAATACTGGTGCCAGTGCCGGAGAAAAAGAGTGGGAAAGAAGGCAGAAGAGAGATTCTGTGAGCTTGGGGCGGTTGTGCAGGTTATGAATGTCTGAAACCTAACATGCAGAGAAAAATGAGCTAACAAGAATAAGGTGCTTGCTTTTCTTTTGGGTTGTGATGTGTCCACCCAGGATCATGCACCTGGACTAAGTTTTGCAGCAAGGGTGCCTACCTACACTGCCTAGGAATACAATCTTGGGATTATGATATATATCGTCAAATAGAACTGCCCGGTAAACCGTAGGCAGAGAGGGAGAAGAGGACAACAAACGAGGGGCTGTGACAAACTGTTTCGTCGGAGTTTCACCGACTCATGTGCATTTTCTGGGCTCTTCTTCAGTTACTCTTGAAGAGAATGTGACGAGTGGATGTGTGAGCTGCAGGGCCAAAAAGTAATGGAGCGTGGATCTGAACCAACCACGACGCAAGGTCAGTGAAGACGTTCGGAAATAGGGCCCCTTTTGCAGTTATAATAGTTCTCTGGAATGCTAACCTTTGTTCATATCAGCTCGCTGCTGTATCCTTGTGCTTGTGGGTGGGCTTTTCGTCTCTCTGCTCTTGCATCCTTCCTCAAACACAAAGCTGAAACCTCCCGTACCTGGCCTCAAGTGTGGTCAGGGTGTCCCATTGAGTTGTATCCTTTGTGGTTGTGTATACCTGAGTCGCACCAGGGAGGTGCTGAGTTCACGGCCCACTTATATGTCTTTCAGTGGTGATATCTGCAGGCTCATCGGACTGAGGGCTAGGAACATACTTAAACCACCAGTACTTCCTAAAGTCGTGACCGTAAACAAGCCGTGACTTTAGGGAACGTACGGGCCACTACAGAAGTGCCCAAATTCATCCGATTAGAAACATTTCTACTCAATTTTTTCCCGCGGCCGATGGCTGGGCCAGGTACTGGTGGTTTAAAGGGCCAGTGCCAGTGATGGGCCAGAATCTGTGACAGGATGGGGGACAGAGTCAGAAGCTGTGCCAGAGCTAACTTGAAGGACTTGGGCAAGAACAGGCAGAGCATGCCAGCAGCTACCGTCTCCACCCGAATAGAACACCCGGTAATTATAGCCGTATCTGGGCTGAAAGGTGTGCCGAAAAATACAGCTATAATGACCGGGCATTCTATTCGGGTGAAGACGGTAGCCAGAACTCCAATATGATCTTGAGCCAGTCAGTCAGCCAGGCAGTCGGCCATGTGCCTGAAGTCTTAAAATCTGGATTCAAAACCTATCGGGGCTGCAGCTTTTCCTTGGACTGGGAACCCTTATGGACAACACTTCATATCTAAAGTGGCCTGGATATACGCCACCCAGAGACACAGATAAAAGCACTTCAAACCAAGTGGATATTCGAAGTACTCACAAGGCATAACCTACTCTGGGTCCCCTTTGGCCGACAGAGGATCAATCAGCTGACCAAATACAATACAGCAAACAACATGACGGGGACTTTCTGGCCCCTGGCTCATGAACAGATAATGGGCAATGAAAGGCCAACAAAATCAGGAACATGAAGAGCCAGAAGAAAATGATCAGGAAGAACTTAAGAGTCTCGGAAACAAAACAACTCATTAAACCACCAGCACTTTTTACCCTTCCCTTGCCGACCCTCGAAACACACTATGTGCCAAAAGAAACCGAACCGGCACACCCCTCCTTTTGGCTGGCGCCACCAGCCATTTTTGCTGCGGCGGCCGAGCATATTTATTTTCATAGCGGGGAAAATGTACTGGTGGTTTAAAGTTTAAACCACCAGTAGCCACTTTGCTATGACGTGGCCAAGCTCACGCCCGTCTGGCGGGATGTGCCAGCCTGCGGCTTCGCAACAAAACCATCCAGGCAAACTGAGTTGTGTGCATGGCCCGTTTTGCTGGGATGCATTTTTTGTGAACCAGCAGGTCAGTACGTCCCACCAGACGTTACGCAAGCACTGCCACATTTTAGAAAAATGACTGGGAAAGGTACTGGTGGTTTACGATTTGGAAGGACCGGCCGAACTACGAGAACCAACAACCGAAGAAGAGACATTGAGGCAACCCCATGCTGTGACCAGAAGATAACAGACTTCCAAGGCAAACTAGTCTAACAACTAAGGACACCAAATGAGGTTCATGGCTGGAAAGAAGGGTGTGGCAGGTCACACACCTGTGGCATGACGAACAAAAGAGGTGGAGAACAACGACAGAACTCAGGACCAAGTTAAGAGGCTGTCACAACCTACATCAGCATCTGAACAACATACTGCTGTCCATCCCATATGACTGGGTAGAACACCTTAAAGGAAACTATACATGGGAGCTCATGGGTTCTTAAAGTATGTTCACAGCCCCGGCGTTTGAAATCAGGGAGGGACTGCAGAAAGAATGGCAAGTCGTGGACATGCACAAAATACAAGACCCAGGGCGACGACAAGCAAAGTGGGGAAAACGGCCGAAAGGAGAACACAATCACAATCATGTAGAAGAATAGCACCTCATGGATGCGACACTTTACTCTCGCGGAGGACATAATGTGCACAAAAAATAACTGTAGCATCCTGCCGGATGCTCAAGCATCGCCCTTCTGCCTCGTCCACTCAGTCAAGAGAGAACTTAATAAGAAAGGTGAGAGCGGTAGAGGAACGCAGAATTTATTGTCCCACCGCCATCCTTCCTTTTAGGATTTTACAGATTTCAAAGGACTCTTACCTTAGTTCACTGATTCAGGCTCTCAAGGAAAAGAAAGAGTGATTTCTGTGATTGCCTGTTAACATACTCTAAAACACAGAAACCACAAAAATGGGCTGCAATGTCCCAAATAATCAGCGGAAGATGGGTTGAACTGTAACTTGAACTTGAACACCATAATGTCAATCAACGGCAGCTATAAGACATGCATGACCTGGAGGCATAACCTATCGTCGATCAGACCACATGCAGGACCTGGAGACATACGCTATCGTCGATCAGACCACATGCATGATCTGGAGATGTACTCTATCGTCGATCAGACCACATGCATGACTTGGAGACGTACCCTATTGTCGATCAGACCACATGCATGACCTGGAGACATACCCTATCGTCGATCAGACCAGCCTGGATCAAAAGCTTCCAGTGGCTCCTGTAGTACCTAACCATGAACGTGAATCAAAATGGCTAAACAAAAGGAGAAGCAAGAACACAGATCCCACCTCAAAGAGATATGTGCCATTCGCCAAAAAAGAGAAGCAAAGAATACAGATCCCACCTCAAAGAGTAATGCGCAATTTGCCAACGAGAACAGACGTGTACCAGTGCGCTTAGTGAACTCTACAGCCCAAAGCCAACCCAAATGTGGAAAAACCACCAGGGATCTCGAAGAGAGCATCGGACCACCGACTACCTCGAGATTCGAAACACCACCTACGAAAACTATTCTGGCGAAGTCTAAGGCTACTAGCAATCTTACGTCATCTGGAAGCGCCGATGCGGGAAAACCATAGAACAGACAGGAGTGTATTGGCAGGTAGATAGGGGAAGAGGCTATCTTATTACTGGAAACAGACTTCAGAGGCGAATGGGCAAGGACACAGCGAAGGATAGCACACAACTTGGACATGGAGGAAAACATATTAGAGTCATTCGGCAAAGATAAACTGGGAAATGGAAAAATAGCAGAGAGGTTAGGCAAGGAAGACTAATCTTTAACGCCTGACACAGACATCCCGGATCGGAAGTCACATGAGCAGGCAGAACTGAAAATCTCCCGTCCCGTCGTAGTTTACCCATGGCGACTATGTAATGAGTAAGCATAGAGGAAGTGACGTAAAATTAGGGGATAGAGGACTCACTTCATAGGTGTAATCCAGCCAGGCCCTCCACAGACTCACGAAGAGGCAGGAGAGCGTAGGAGAAGAGTAATGGACCAATGGTTAACCCTTCCCCAAGAGAAGCAATCGATGCCGCTGTCTCAGGGTCCTTCAGCCATAATGGAAGGAAGTGTTGAGTGGGTCATCAATGTCCTTCAGCCATAATGGAGGGAAGTGTTGAGTGGGTCATCAATGTCCTTCAGCCATAATGGAAGGAAGTGTTGAGTGGGTCATCAATGTAAGGGGCGCTGGACCCTCTTTCCAGCATAAGTGCGCTCTTTTAGTTGCCATATATGTCACAGTATAATGCAGTTGGAGGTTGTTTCCAAAGAAGGGAAAAAAACATATAGGGGCCAGAAAAGATGGCAGCCCCTGACGGTGCAACAGTTTGGAAGTCCAGGCGGATGCAAAACTGCGCGCTCAGGCGGAGAGGCTTGGGTGTACTTGTGGTTGAACCCTCCATTGTTGCAGATCCACTGGTTTGTTTAGCAGACTTTCATTCCTGTTCCTTTTTTTCTTTTAATTGCTAGCAACAGGCTCCTTTCTACTGGTGGGGAGCAACACCTGGTGGAAACCGGGTCCAGCGTCCCTGAACAGCGATGAATACGCACTCACAACGCTTTCCTACATTACGGCCTGGAGAACCCTGGCAGCGTTGATTGCTTCAGAGAGGAAGGATTCACTGTCAGTCATGCCCACTCCGTTGGCATTGCCCTACCTTGACCACTTCATAATCCCCTAAAAAGAAACAATCCAAAATCAGCCACAGCTATCCCTCTCAGGCCATGGTCTTAAATTTTACGTTATTCCCGAACCTCATATCTTTTGTCCGCAATTTTGCAGATGTGGTCCTTCCCTGTGCCTTGCTGTGAGCTTAAGGAAAGATTATGGAGTTGGAATAAAACTGACTGCTTTCCAGTTTCTCTGTACTTATTGAACCGCCACTACCTTTCTCAGCTATCGATAACGAGCCTAAAATCGCCCTGCGTGCCATTGAGAAACAAACCGGCGCAGGCCTCGTTTTGGCTGGCGTCGCCAGCCAATTTGGTCCAGTACCCAAACCGTCGAAAGTTGCCCGTGTTAACTGGCACATATTTGTTTTTCAAGCGGGGAAAGGTACTGGTGGTTTAAGCATTCCTCCTCTAACCTGGAAGTCGTCCTTGTCTCCTCTCCTGTCTCCAGTATCCCGATGCAATTGTCCTGTCAAGTCTGACATCTGTCGAGCGAACTTTTACGTAAGTAAAGCTCCAGTGGCATTTGTTCCCCCGAAAACCGTCTTACGGTTGCCTCATAGCTGGTTCAGAATTCTGCCGATCTGTAATGGTGGCTGCGTTGCGCCGAGTAACAAGTTGTGGCTGAACAACTTGGTTTTAATTTCCTGTTCTCTCTCTTAGGCTACTGCTGGATCATGGCCTTTGCCTGTTTCCATTTGCATCTGATCTCTGCTGCAATCGACTCTTTGGTGGAGGCCCAAACCTTTTCCCTTGAGTTTCTTTTTTTTCTTCTTCTTTCCTTCTTCTTCTCATGTTGTCCAACAAAATGTTGCCTCTCGCGTTTGGGATCACCCTACTCTCCTTTGAAATCACCCACAGGGTCACTTTTGTGGTCATTTGGAACCACGGTCCCTGACGCTTGTGCAGTCTGAAAGGTAAGCTAGTCCCAAAGCAGGATTTCGATTGGTTGTTCGGGAAAGGGAGAAGCGAATAAACGAGACGTGAGACAATGTTGTTTGGCAGACTTGCTATACTGATATGAATCCCATACTTTGGGATGTCGGTATGGTCTCTACTCTATGACTTGGTGGCAAGTTTGGTTAAAATGACCCTTGAATTTTGTTATAAATGGCATGACAAGTTGTCTGAAAATTAGGGCCTCCGTTAACCGCCTCTCGATGTCGGTTAGCCCGAGCTGTGACTACCAAGAGTCAAAAAACGCCGGCTAGCTTTGGCGTTCACTTCTTTCAGATGGCTCGCTGGGACCTTGTCCCTTTTCAGACCCCCTTTTTTTTCACTATGGAACTTTGTGTTCACATCACAATGTAGGAAAAACATGTGTGAGGCTTTACTGTAGCAAGGTGGGACCTTGTCCCTTTTCAGAATCCCTTTTTCACTACGGAGCTTTGCGTTCACATCACAATGTAGAAAGATGTGTTAGGCTTTACCTGTCGCAGACAATACATCTTTCAAAGAACGAACGGCTGGGACCTTGTCCCTTTTCAGATCCCTTTTTCACTACGGAGCTTTGCGTTCACATCACAATGTAGAAAGATGTGTTAGGCTTTACCTGTCACAGGCCATGCAATACATCTTTCAAAGAACGAACGGCTGCACCTGCAACCAACCATCACCCTTCTGCCTATGGAACTTGTGTAGTCTGTGGGGGGTGACAGCCAGGTCAATGCCATTGTGCAGGCAGGTGCTGGGGAGTCCCTGTTTCCTGTTGGTGTCAAGTTTGTAATGAAAGGTGAATTTCAAGTTTCAACAGATGTGAGAAAAATGTCCTCTAGCTCTTTTTTCCCCCTTCTGGCTCTGACTCCTCTGAGTCATTTCTGCCAACCTTTTTTGCATGAGATCGGCAACCGTCTCAAGAGGGCAGAGTCCCCGGCAGACATATCTAGCACAGTCCAGTCCATCGAACTGCGGTGCCAATCCGGTTCCTGGTGCGCTGGCAAGTCATGGAATGCATTGCTGCAAATGCTCAGTCACACCCACATGAGGTCTCAGAGTCCATTGGATTGAACAAGATTAAACTACCCTGTCAAAATACACAAAAAGTTCTATTCATTTAACCATTGCAATGAATATATCTCCAGGAGGCATGTTAGCTAGTGTGTATTATCTTACTAAACTAGAAGAAAAAGCAGATCAGCCTCAAGAAATATGACAGGCGCTGCTGAAATGGATGGTGCTATTTTAGTAGTATCTGCTGCTGATGGACCTATGCCTCTCTAATGACTTTTTTTTTTATTATCATAAAGATGAAAGAAGTGATCCTGGCATCGAGTTATTTTCCCATAGTTCAAAGTCATAATTTCTAAAAATCATAATTCAGAACGAATAAGGTGAGGGGCCTAATCTCTAAAAATGATGGGTTTCTCCATTTCTAGGATATACAATAGCTCCACGAGTTGCTAAATAAGGTTTGCCAAGCCAATAGCTGCTGATGTAGGAACAATAGCACCAGAGATTATATTATTTCCATAAAGCAAAGAACCAGAAATCTCAGCCATCCGCTAATAGTAATAGCACTCTGAGCAAAATTACCTCCTGTAATATGAGAGAAACAGTCAATTTAATAAATGATCTAACAATTCCAAGTATTTGGTGGACAAATAATATTTGTTACGTTTATTCCCAGAAATACAAAAATCATTTCGAAAATTTTGAACACCTTCGTGGGTTTCATGTGACTCTTGTCACTTCAGCTAGCTGGAGAAATGGTCGAATTTTCCAGTTGTGGTAAAGGAATGGCACTAAATGAGAGTGTACGGATTGTGGTTTTTGGTAGTGTGATACTGCCATGAAAGAAGGAGATATTGTCAAACGTAGTGGATATATTGTAGATATTCCTGTAGGAAGATCTATGTTGGGGCGTGTTGTTGATGCATTAGGAGTACCTATTGTCTCACAGTTTTTTTTCCTTTTTCTTTTTCTTTTTTTTTAAATAGGAAAGGGTCCTTATGGATCCTTATGGCTCTGGCTCCATATCCATTCTGGGGAGCATCAGTCCGGTTCCTATTCCCCTGGCAAGTCAAGATATAGGTAATTGACCCGTGACAGTTGGAATGGAGTGCGGCATGAGATGTCAGTGCTTATTGCTATTATGTTTGTTGATGCTCATGTTTGTGCTTTTGCTTTTTAAACCGAACCAACACATTGACATGGATGGAAGCGTGCGTGGTGGTTCTATTGCGGTCGTTTCTTGCAGAAGGAACAAGCAGTCTGGTGGCGCTGGCGTCAGAGATGGTGGAGCATAAGGACGATCATGCAAAAGGGCAGGAGAACGAGAATGAACGGGGAGTGGACGAAGAGCCTGGCACGAGCGTAAATACCTCGCGCTCTCCATTAATGAGAGAAAATCAAGTGCGAAATGCCATCAAGTTCTTGTCGCATCCGAAAGTGCGAGGATCCCCAGTGAAGTTCAGGAGAGCCTTCTTAGAAAAGAAGGGCCTCTCTCAAATGGAAATCGACGAGGCATTCCGCAGGGCGCTGGTACAGTCTCTCTGCTTCACGGCCTGTGATTCATTCCCAGGATTGCCTAGTTCTTTCTGTGCTATGATCTTGTCCATTTTTCTTGAGGCAAAACTCAAATTTTAGACAATGCCATGCATCACAACTCGAATAGAAAAAGAATGAATTCACGAGAGAAGAATAACGAAGGAAAGAAGAAGAAGAAAGGAACACTAGCTTGAAACAATGTCAGCTCGCTCCATCACCTCCCTCACATCACCACCTCCGACTAATAATGAATTACAAGTTTCGCAATTTTTTATTTATTATTATTTTCTATTATTTAAATTTAGGGAAAATTTGCAAAATGCCCCTGAAATTTCCGGTAATTGGCGATTTGCCCTCGGACGGCCGAGGTTTTCTGATTTGCCCCTGGGGCCTCTGAACTTTCGTGCAGGCC